ATATATATATATATATATATATATGCAAGTAAATCACTGTAGGTGCGCGTGATCCAGGTATATGCTGATAACCACAAGAAAACACGAAGTTCCCAAGCGCTTTCGTGTAATTCACATCTTCAGGGGTGAGTACAGACTAAGGTGAAATACTTGACAAGGCTGATATATACTGTATATTTTAGTCTGTATACTGTATATATTAGTCCTTAATCTGTACTCACCCCTGAAGATGTGAATTACACGAAAGCGCTTGGGAACTTCGTGTTTTCTTGTTTCCTTGTGGTTATCAGCATATATATATATATATATATATATATATATATATATATATATATATATATATATATATATATATATATATATATATATATATATATATGTATGTATGTATGTATGTATGTATGTATGTATGTACTAGCTAACCTAGCCTGACCAACAAATGGGAACTAGCCTAACCTAAACTAATCTAACCTAACCTCTGTCTGGTGTCTGCTGAAAGTGTCCACGCCTCTGACCCATACAACAGTCCTGACCATGTAAAGCCTTTCAGCAGACCCATCAGTTAATGTTACTTCCCTAATACAAAAAATTGTCCACGTGTTTAAGTTCCCTGTTCCCTGGAGACAATCGTTACTTTAGTCTGTACAGCATTAACGCTTTACCCACGTTCTTCACCTTTATCCAGTAATCTATTAACCAGTTCTTCACCCTCCGTCATAAGAGCAGTATCATCTATGCAGCGTACATTTGATATTATTTTACCATTAACTTTTGTTCCCTCATTAAAACTTCTGAATATATATATTATACAATATTGGAGACACAACACAGAGTTTTCTAACTTTGAGACACTTATTAAGTTTATTATTTACTAATACCACAGCCCCCTGTTATGAGTAAAGAGTTTCTAAAATTCTCATATCTCCTTCATTATTGCCTATTTCTTTCAAGACATCTACTAGTTTATTGTGTTTAACCCTGTCAAAACCTTTTTCAAAATCTTCAAGCCAGATATACAAATGTCTTTGGACGTTTAAATCCCAAATTCTCAAACCAAATACGACTTCTCTAGTTTCTTTTTCCATTTTGATCTTCCGATAACTCACTAGTAGTCTATTCTATATTTTATTCAAAATTAATCTAAAGTAGGTGCATTCTAACGCTGCTAGCTGTTTAGGTACTGATACAAATATTGTTGTTTTTATATATTACCGAGAAGGTCTTTCTTGAAGTATGATAGAGTTACACATTTTGGTCAGACAATTGATCCCGTTATTACCCAATTGTTTTATAAAATCTTCTGGACGCTGATTAACCCTACGAGCCATATCATTTTCCCACTCAAATCCGGGAACTAAGATAACCTAATATATATTTAACCTACACCTGCTGGTATTCGTGACAAGAGATCGTACACCAAAGGAACTAGACTTTAAACCATAGTCCATAGGGTGTGTCATACGGAGGCGAATTTTTTTTTTTTTGAGTTTGAAAAATCGGCCCATGGTATTAATGATGTAGTTCTATGTGCAGAATCATGTGATATCTTCAGATTTGATAAATTTTTATTTTTTGCTTGGTAAATTTTAACTTGAAATCTTATGAAAATTCAGTATTCCCACCCTTTTACCAACACCACTAAATAGCTTATTTAAAGTAAAGTAAATGTATCAGGTTAATTTATTAGGATGAAAATGATCCAGAATAGTGAAACGAATGATCTTGACACATTTATTAAATTTAATATTCCTTTAGAAAACAAATTCATCAAATACAAAACCGGTTTTACTACTACGACCCGGTGTTGCTGCACACCATAAAGAACATGTCTTTCTTGCTTCTGTTTCTACTCATCACCTCCCTGCTGACCACCTGAGCTCTGATGTAGCCTTCCCTCCTCTCCTGGCTGTACACGTGACTGCTGGCCTCGCTCACTTGCTGTACACAACGCTCTATACTCTGGGTGTGCGCGGGCCAGGCAGGGACATGCATGGGGTTGTCCAGGAAAGCTCTGACTTGAACATTGGTGAGGCTGCAGGTAAGAGGGGGCTCACTGCCAGCCTGGATGTTATCCAGATCTATGAGATCAGTGAGGGTCTTGACACCTAGATTGACTTCAGGAGCCTTCCTGACCCTGAAGGAATCGTCACCAACTGATTCATCATGCCCAGATCCTCTCATAAGTCTCATATCCAAGATCTTGCATTTTGCACTCTTCTATACTCATCCTTGCACAGAGCATTGTCTGCAGAACTGCCTCGGGATAGGCATATGCGGGAAAGATTTTCTCACAGTCTGCTCACAATCTGAACAACCTTGACTTTGACTCCTCAGGGCTCAAGCTGGAAAGAGAACATGCCTCGGACCTTCGGAAGAACATGATGACTTGATGACAGTGTTGAACCAATTTGTAGTAGACACTCACGATAGATTGGACAAATAGTCTCCAGGTTGTGGCTGGTTCCCTTCAGTTTATGATAGGCAGCCCAAATTGCAGAACCTGACATGCGTTGGCAGGCCACCTAGAATGTGAGACTGGACCTATCTGCAGGTAAGCAAGTCTATCAGGCATGATCCCAGTTTTGATGGCACTGCAAATCATGTAACCATAGTACTGGTCAGTACTCAGGTCGTCAATGACAGTATGTGCAAGCTCAACGAGTGGAGGGCCAACTGTGATTTTTTCAAAGCTCGGATTTATTTCTAACTCGGTGGCAGAGTCCAGCATCTTGCCAAGAGGACCAGACCATCTGTTGTTTGAAAAGAGTCTTTATCCAACTCCTGGATCAGATGTCTGAGTGGCAACTCGTTGGGTGTGGAGTCTGAAACAATCCGACCAGCTTCACTCCAATCTTCCGCTCTATCCACTGTATGACCCCCCCTTACCACCCTGTGTTCGTGTTGGTGCTGTCCCCTCCAATGGCCTGCAGGGTCTGGTCTACGTTCCTCTCTCTGAGCCAGTTCACAATGTTATCTGCGACTATCTCAGCTGGTTTCCTGATGTCATCTTTCTCTGGAGTGAAATGCCACAAATGCTTCCCTCCTGGTTCACTGCAGCAGGAGTAGTGTTCCTCCTTCACCATGGCAGGGAACAACTTGTCAGAATCTCCAACTTTAATGAACACTTTAGTGTCATCCCTTCTCCCATCAAAGAACAAACAATTGATTCCATTTTCTCTTATCCCCTTATCAAACTCCTCTTCTAGGTTACTGACAAGTTTCTCCTGAGCTCTCCTTACTTTGTTATGATTTATCACCAGGTGAACATCATCAGGTGTTATCAAACCACCGCTAATCCAGGCAGCTGTTGCTATCTCTGCAGTTTCTCTGAGACCAGTGTGGTGTCGCATGCTGGCCAGAGCTATGCTCGGGATATCTTTCCTATTTCGAATCTTATGCCTGGAAGGTTTGGGATCATTATTTTCTGGGTTAGGGACAAAGTCACCATTCTCCTGGTCAGCACTCGGATCAGCCATGGGGAAGTAATTAAACTCTGAATCAGCTTGACTCAATCATCGGCCTTTTTTACTCCTCACCCTGCCTTCTTGCCCTTTTTCCTCGGCAACTCTTTCCTCTTCTGTCTCTGTGGCAGCCTTCCTGTCTTTGACTCCGGAATATCTTGGCTAGAAATCATGAGTTCCCTTATACTGCCAGTCTTCTCTCTGTGCTTTTGACAAATGCCAGTCTGGATTCACAGGAATCTTCAGTTCACGCTTGCAAATACAGATAGCCTCGGATTTACAGTCACGATCGCATCCAAACTCAGGACAGAGAACACCACACTGCAAGTAATTATGTCAAATAATCATCCAGTTGTTTACAAAGCTGTCCTAACTGCAAGTTTTCCTCTCCCAAGAGAGATATCTCTTTGCCTTTTCCCAACTGGCTAGCAGTCTCTCACCAATCTTCTTCTGACTTGTTATGACTGGAGGCTTGAACTAGTTGCTAATAGAGTGTACTGTGTCAAGACAGCTTTGGTCATATCACTGGCAATGTCTTTGTTGGTGTAAGTTCTGGTTCTTTTCACTGGATTTGCCTGATTAAAACACTGCATCTCAAAGCATCTCTCAATGTAGGCAACTCCGACTTGGTAGAGCCTTCCCAGACCCAAGATAGTGACTGAGATGGCTGATTTTGGTTCGTCCTGGACATTGCCAGCCATCGCAATATTATCAACTTATAAAATGCATCAGAATCTGAAACAGAAAAAAATATTGTTAGTTAAGTTGAAAGAAGAATGAAGTCAGAAAGCAATGTTCGCTATTTAATTGTAATGCACTAATGCAGCTATACGTTAGATTTTCGATAAATTTCACGCTAAAATTTACCTAGCAAAAGGTTGCAAAATATTGAAACTGAAATTATTTTCTGTTTATATACACTAAAATCTACCAAAAAGTGATGGGCCATTAGTTTTAGCTGATCTTCCCTCCTATGACACACCCTAAATTATCCAAGGTACAAGAAGCCCAATTGAGAAAGAAAAATGGTCGTAAATTAACAACTGACTTGCGACACAACACAACACTATTTATGTTTTGTTTTCTGTCGACACAGTTCTACTTACTACTACCCCCCCACCCCTCCTCTGTCTGTCTCTCTCCAACACAGGTCTACTTACCTCTGTCATGCCCCTGTCTAAATTGAGCAACAGTGGTGATATTATAGGTGAATGTTAAGAATAAGTTACACTGATAGGAAAACAAATCAAGTACTAAGACTGGCGTAAATATCAAGAGAAATGCTTGAAATTTATAGAGTAAGAATTATTAGATACTTTGGTCGTATGATTAAAGGTGAGGGGTTAATAACAGAGTAGGAAGACCTGGGGACGGCAGAGTCTTTAATTCTTCCACCCCAGTCTCTGCCGTCCCCAGGTCCTCCTACTCTGTTATTAACCCGACAATCTACGCCAGTCTTAGTCTTGAAATTATCACTGTTCTGACCCATACGACAGTTCTGACCCATACGACAGTTCTGACCCATACGACAGTTCTGACTCATACGTTCTGACCCATACGACAGTTCTGACCCATACGACAGTTCTGACCCATACGACAGTTCTGACCCATACGACAGTTCTGACCCATACGACAGTTCTGACTCATACGACAGTTCTGACCCATACGACAGTTCTGACCCATACGACAGTTCTGACCCATACGACAGTTCTGACCCATACGACAGTTCTGACCCATACGACAGTTCTGACTCATACGACAGTTCTGACCCATACGACAGTTCTGACCCATACGACAGTTCTGACCCATACGACAGTTCTGACCCATACGACAGTTCTGACCCATACGACAGTTCTGACTCATACGACAGTTCTGACCCATACGACAGTTCTGACCCATACGACAGTTCTGACCCATACGACAGTTCTGACCCATACGACAGTTCTGACCCATACGACAGTTCTGACTCATACGACAGTTCTGACCCATACGACAGTTCTGACCCATACGACAGTTCTGACCCATACGACAGTTCTGACCCATACGACAGTTCTGACCCATACGACAGTTCTGACCCATAAGACAGTTCTGACCCATACGACAGTTCTGACCCATACGACAGTTCTGACCCATACGACAGTTCTGACCCATACGACAGTTCTGACTCATACGACAGTTCTGACCCATACGACAGTTCTGACTCATACGACAGTTCTGACCCATACGACAGTTCTGACCCATACGACAGTTCTGACCCATACGAATATATAACCTTTCAGCAACTTTTAGATGCAAAATCTCATGGGACTGGAAAAAAATAAATGAAAACGCTTAGATAGGAGGACTGTGGTCGCCAACCCTCAGATATAAGGGCAGTATTCCGATTGATTGATAATTACAGGCATCTATAATAACAGGTGTCTATAGTTACATGTGTCTATAGTTACAGGTGTCTATAGTTACAGGTGTCTATAGTTACAGGTGTCTATAGTTACAGGTGTCTATAGTTACAGGTGTCTATAGTTACAGGTGTCTATAGTTACGGGTGTCTATAGTTACGGGTGTCTATAGTTACAGGTGTCTATAGTTACAGGTGTCTATAGTTACACGTGTCTTAATCACCGACATCTATGATGACGTCTTTAGTTTTGTTCACAAGTTACAGGTAAAATTTGTCCCCTAATTACAGTAACAGCAGCAGTAGCTATCAGCTTAAGGTACTGAACAGCAAACCGTTTTTACCACCACAGGTTGCAGCAACAGTCGTAAATCTTAAATAACAGCAACAGTCGTAAATCTTAAATAACAGCAGCAGTCGTAAATCTTAAATAACAGCAATAGTCGTAAATCTTAAATAACAGCAACAGTCGTAAACCTTAAATAACAGCAACAGTCGTAAATCTTAAATAACAGCAATAGTCGTAAATCTTAAATAACAGCAAAAGTCGTAAACCTTAAATAACAGCAACAGCCGCAAGTCTTAAATAACAGCAACAGTCGTAAGTCTTAAATGTAACAAGTCAAAACTCGTATAGAAGATATTACGTATACTGTAGGGAGAATACCGCCGCCCTAACCGCCAGCCCAGGAGTCAGTGGAACGTTAACCGTGACCCTCATGTTAAGTCTATCCGAGTGTGGCACCGAATAGCAGTCGACCAGTGGAAGAAATCTCCCAGCTCCCCTACTCTCTACGCTTCCTGATGCGCACAAATAAAGAGCTCCAATCTGCCATCACTCTCGCACGAGAGAAGCAGTGGTTTGATTTTGCTTCTTCTATTGACCAGTCTACATCTATAGGTGATATATGGCGCACCATTAACCGTGCCCGGGGCACCAACGCTAGACCCGCGCTCCACCCCAGACCAGCTGCCCGAGCTGAGGCGCTCTCCCAGACGTGGCAGGAGGCCGCCTCCATTGATGCGCTACCACCCGCTGTACGAGACCTCACCCTCGCACTGCAACCACAACGCCGACAGCGCATCTTCGAGTACCAAGACCTATTTGCAGACACTGACGTGCCTTTCACACAGTGTGAACTACTAAATGCTGTTAAGCGTGGTCGGTCCACCGCCCCAGGCGATGACGGCGTCACATATGATGTGTTAAATGCCCTTATTGCCACCCCTGGTAACCCCCTCCTCTGTCTATTTAACCTCTCTTTTGATACGGGTCAGCTGCCTCACTCATGGAAGACTGCCACCACCATCCCAGTCCCTAAACCAGGCAGACAAGATGAATATCGTCCAATATCCCTCATCTCCTGCTTCTCAAAGATGATGGAGCGCATAATACTCCACCGCCTCCACTGGAAAATTGAAGCCCACCTGCACCCTGACCTCTATGGTTTTCGCCCCGGAAAGAGTACTGCTCACTGCATCGCTCACTACATGGCAAACACCTCCGCCAAAACCTCCCTCTTCGTCGACTTCAAGGGTGCTTTTGATAAAGCCAACAGTGAAGTGATCCTTGAGGGCCTCACTCACATGGATGTGAAGGGCAAACTCCTCACGTGGATTGCTGACTACCTCTCCCATCGGCAGGCCAGTGTCCGTTTTCAGGGCCACTACTCTAAGATCAGGGACCTTGATCTTGGCACGCCTCAGGGAGGTGTACTCAGCCCTACACTCTTCAATGTTCTCATGAACTCCATCTGCCGTCTCAACGTCATCTTTGCTGAGCGAGCCCTAGACGGTCACATTATAAGCTACGCTGATGATATCCTCCTCCAAATTACTACAGTGCAACATGAACAACCTATACTCTCCACGTTCGCCCGGACCTGTCAAACACTCGGGCTAGTCATCTCACACACTAAAACCAAGTTTATCTCACGCTTCCGGCGTCAGACACCACTGATTCTGCAAGGACAAGACATCGATCAAGTACGCACCTACAGGTACCTTGGTCTACCTGTGCGAGCCACTACCAGAGCCACGACCTTCGCTGTCGCCGCCCACGTCATCTCCCAGTGCCGCCAACGAACGAGGCCCCTCCAGTCCCTCACTCACGGCCTCAAAGGAGCCTCTGTCAGGGTCCTACGTCTCATGTACATTGCCATCGTCAGAGCTGTCATAGATTATGCCTCTCCTGTCCTTGTAGTTGCCTCCCAGCGCGAGAAACAAAGCATAGAGAAAATCCAAAACAGAGCGATGAGACTCATCCTCGGCTGCCCTATGACCACCAGAATAGAAGTCATGCAGCGCGAACTAATCCTGCTTCCCGTCTGCGATCGAATTACTGCTCTCAATTCCATCCTTGGTGTTAAACTTCTTCGCAGTGAGCAACCGACTCCCCTGTCGCGCTCACTGAACTCACATCTTAACACCCTCCTGCGCCGGCCTCTCCGCATTACTTTCCCTCCTCCCTCTCAACTCTGGCCCGTCCACACTGCTGCTGACATCCTGCGTTATCACCTCTACACCCCCTCGACCTCTCTCCCTCCCGAATACACTTATCCGCCTCTACCGCCGTGGACCTCCCCGTGTGTTGATGTTGTCGTCCACACCTTCCCTGGTCGTAAATCCACCCAACTGAGGTATATGCTCAAACTTAACTGCCTTGAGCAGATTAATGATGTCGCTTCCTCTCTAAAGACCTCCCACCCTCCTATCCTCGTCTACTGTGATGGGTCTGTTACCACGCTGGGCAGCGCTGGGGCAGCTGTGTGGATTCCTGAGCGCCAGGCCAGCAGGAAAATCAGGGTCCACGACTGGGCCTCCTCCACTGATGCTGAAAGCATAGCCATCCTCGCGGGCATTCATGAGGGGGCGACCTATGCTCGCACTGAACGCCGGAACCTCCTTATAATCAGTGACAGCACTTCTGCGCTAGCGAGGCTCAAATTACCCTCCCCCTCCTCCCCTGCCGCCGGGCTAGAACAAATTGATGACATCCGTGTCAAGTTTCTTTGGATCCCGTCACATATAGGAATAACTGCCTGTGACACTGTTGATCGGCTTGCCAAAGAAGCAACACAATAAGAAGATACTGAAGCCACTCTCGCCCTCTCCCTGAATCATCTCAAATCTCGCATACACGCCACACAACGAGAGGCATTCAACGAAAATTGGACACACCTGAAACAACGGGGTAGTGTCACACTATGCCACTATGACGCTGTAACCGGTGACGACAACCGCCACTACAAAGAATATCAATCCCTGACTCGATCTCAACAGCTTATATACATGAGACTGCGCCTAGGGTACAGGTACCTATGGGAGTACATTGGCAACCCTGAGCCTCACCGCACTGTTTGTAAACTTTGTGGCTAACCCGACTCTCACACCCTCTCTCACTACATCCTCACTTGCCCTATGACCTCCTCCTATAGGTCCCAGCCGTTACCAACACCTCTTCCCTCCCAGACCAGATATCCCTCCTCCTAGTCACAGGCCTGGCATTTGACATTATTAGGGACATGCCACTCTTTGCCATAAACAGATAAAATGTACCGGGAACTTTCCCCCCACACACTCATCATTCTCTCACTTTATGTAACTTGACAGAACCTATGACCCTTCAGGCTTTTACGCCCTTAATGTACGAGTCATAAAGGCAAGTATGAACTTTTCATACTTCCATGTTGGGCGCTGTAAACGCTTCTGCGCTTCACCTTGCACAGGATGTAAGGGGGTGCCCAATAAACTAGCCCCCTCGGGGGCAAATCTGAATCTGAATCTGTAGGGAGAATATTTATAGTAAGAGGAATGTAAGGAGAGGAAGTTTGGTAGCGTGGCCGGTTAGTTATTTACACTTATATTATCTTATACGTTCTTAAGGGACAACTTCTCAAACACCGCTTCGATACAACTATTTATTAATCCGCTCAATGACATGGACACATTAATATCAACATTATATCGGAGTTATTAGCACATTATGTTTACATTACTCGACACTGACTCTCGGACACAAATAGAAATGAATACACTTCCCACAGTAGGTAACTCACCCTAGGGATCGCCCTGACAAGACTCACGTGTAACCTGATGGAGGCCCAGCGGGTGCTGCTGGGCTGCCTCCTATGGGAGGCTTGCATAGCTTGGTGACGCCGGGGTCTGGTCGGGAAGTCTGCCTCCCGACCTGGGGGGAGGACGAGCGTGACTGTGCGAGTGAACAGAATGACGACCCGACGGGAGAGAGATGAGTCTGGTGAGAATAATGAGAGTAACCAGAATCAGCCCGTGGACGGGACTGCAGGGCCTTTATATGGGGGAGGAACAGCCGGCGTTTGACCCCTGCCAATTAACACTAAACTGGTTAGATCTGGACAGCTGTGTTTGCCCAGGTGGGTGGTCATGCCCGGGTGTGTCTTGGCTAGGTGTGGTTTGGTCAAGTCACCCGCGAACTCAAGTAATTGGTGGACGAGGTCAGGTCCCTTTTGTCCTGACCCAGGGTGTGTCAGGGTATGTGAGGGTACCACGGGGCCTGTACTGTAATTCGCTGTTATATGTGTTGTAATTCTCTGGGCTGTAAGCTGTGGTCTGATAAACAATCATTACATAAATAACAGCAACAGTCGTAAGACTTATATTACAGCACCAGTCATAAGCCTTACCGTATTACTGTATCCTTGGACACAGATTATAGCAACTACAGCAGCAGTGACGAAGTGTGCCAGAAGAGACCTTCCCTCGCTCGACACCCGTGCCAGTCTGACGCATTTATCGCAGCGCTCACCTGTTGTCATCCTTCCTCCGTGTCGCGCTACGAAACGACCACACCCTCACCCTCCCTTCCTTGAAACCCTTCCTC